AATTTCTGTCTTTTCTAAATTGCTATTTGTGCAGCTTTTTTGTAGAAGGAAGAAGAAATAGCTCTATCCGAGTTTCTATTTGATAAATATTTATTATCGTAAATGAAATTATAATTTATTCCTTGTTTAAATAGAGCCTGCTCTGAATTCTTGTTTCGAAGCGAACATTAGAGGTCAAGACAATCGATCCAGTTGTGGTGACATACATACATATATATATGTTGGCCGATTATAAATATATGTCTTTGATATTGATATCTTAAAGTCTATATTAATTGATTGAAAACTACTTTTGCCAATAGACTGTAGATAATTAGTACACCTATTTATTTTTTATTTATTAAGAAAAGGAAATTGTGAAATTTATATCTGTAATATTAGTTACTTTTCTCTGCAGTTTTATTTAATTAACCTAGAGACGCTGTTTGTATACTTTGTTGGTTTAGGCAAGTATAAACATTAGACGTAAGAAAATACAAGTATACTTATGAATGTAACAACTATAATGTGATTAAAATAAGAGTTTAAGATTTCTACAATGTTGTTACAACTATGATATCAAAATAATCAGGTACGATATTTCTAAAAAAATTTTTCTTTGTAAAAAGCTATGAATTTTCTCAAGATTAATTTTCATTGCAAATTGTACTTTCAAATGACAGGTTGAGGTCGTTTCTGTTCATACAATGCTGAAAACATTGCCAAGCGCCATATTGCGTAGTGCACTTATCAAAGTTTTAGAGAAGTCAAGCTACTAAGCTATTTATTTTCTTTATTTGCACAGGAGATTAAAAAAAAATTGTATGTGGTGTAGAATATATAAATATAATTCATAAGAGCGAGAATCTTTGTTTATATATTTGTCCCGGTAGCACGTACAAATTACTACATTAAGCTGGATGTGCTTTTCAGAGTTGCGTTGAATGTCTACCATAAAATCTGGTTGTTCATATTCTATCTAAGTAAACTATCTAAATGAGATCTATTTCATTGGTTTTTCTTCTTATGTACGTATAGCGGATGTAATGTTATTCGGCTACTAGCTAACTATCAGTCAGAATCAGAAAGTGATTAGTAATTGAGAAGTAAAAAGTATTGTTTTTTTTTTAATAAAATTAAAAGAATAATTGAAATTGGTAGATCTAAATATACAGTTTTTATATGCCCGCTGAGTTTGAAAACGCGTTCACTCTACGTCTTGTTCAGCAGTCACGTGCTCTCATGCGTATCTACTTGTATTTTACGTGCCACGTTGTTTTAGTACGCGGTATATTTAATATATATTTATTGGACAATTTAACTTTTTGCTTTTTAAGGCGCTTCATTAATTCTTAAGTTTACAATGGGGGGCACCAGTGAGGGATTTTGGCGGGAATAAAGCAGGCTATTTGGCTGATGTTGGCAAATTCTACAAGAATTAATCACGATGGTTCCCAGGGGGAACCACGTGAAGATCAATCTGATAAGATATATCGATAGTAATGGGGTAGTTAGACTCTATTATTAATAATCCTTTCCCCCATGCAGGTAGGTTTGTACGTGCCAAACGTTAAATTCAAATATATTCAGTAAGATGTGAATATTTTGGTTATTCATATCGTCATAACGGAATAGTCAACAAATGTTTCTGACAGACTCATTTAGGATTACAGTTACGAGAATATTCCATATAGTTCATATACCTATACCAACTTTCATAGTGATTTGTTAAGGCATTAAGTGGTAACAAATAAACAAATTAACTTTCACGTTTATAATATTAATAAGGGGGTAATAGTAGTACTATCTTTCTAGTACATCACCAGAATGAATTATTGCTTTACTTTCATGTTTTGTATGTCTTCTTCCTAGTATAATGGATTAATTGTGTATTGTAATTTTATATAAATTTTAACTGCTTATTTATATGTAGCTATTTCCTGCGGCTCTGCCTTCATGAATCAGTACATAAAGTAGTAAAATCACGTCTCGAATGCTTATATTCTCTTACACATCGTTTCCATAGGAGTCCACACTTCATCACTATATAGGAGAATAGTAAATACATAGCAGTGCATCAAACTAATACGGAAGGTTGACGAATAGGGAATGGTTACAAAGTAAACTTCTTGAACATATTTCGTACTTGTTCAATGTGGCATTTGATTTTCATCCGAAGGATACGCTTCATTATTACCAGAAGTTACTAGTTAGCTATCCCTAGAGGGCTTTGTACAAAAGTTGTGTGTTTAGTTACTTCTACATCACTAGTGTTTCTTCCGTCAAGCAGTTGTGCTTTATTTGTTTAGCTTTGAAAGGTAGGATGTGTTAGTAAAATGACTGGGTATGGAGATAAATAATAAATAAATACTACTGGATATATCATACACCGCCACCTAGCCCCAAACTAAGCAGAGTACTATGGATATAGTTGGTAATATTATTAAACTAAAATAGGTATAAATTCTATGTAGAAAAAATTAAGGAAAAAGCGACTACATACATACATACATACATATCTGCCATGCCTGTCTCCCATTAGGGTAGGCAGAAACAATGGAACGCCAAATGCTTCGATTCAAACAAACCCTTTATATATATAATAGTAACTACATAAAAATATAATTATAAACTAAATAAATAAATAAAATATATATGTAGATAGTCAAAACAGCAAAAAAAAAAGAAAACATTATAATTTAATAAATAGATTAGTAAAGACTAGTCATACATGAAGCAAATTGAATTAAGAATAAATAAAAAAAGATAATAATATCACAACAAATAATCTATACGTTTAAACTACACTTAAATATAAATTAAAATTTAAAATAAAAACAAACAAACTTACCATATATAGGTATATCACTGCGTGTTGTATACCGATAGCGACGCATTTTGGCTCTAAAAGTTTCAGAACCACAGAATAAGTATACTCTGTTATGTCCATTGTACTGCTCATGTCTATATGCGACGATTATCACTTTCCATCAGGTGGGCCGTCAGCTTGTTTGCCATTCTAAGTTGCATAAAAAAATTATATAAGACAATATGACTTACTTAAATATTTTTGTAAAAATATATATACACGTAGAAAATACCCAGATCAATTAATACAAACAGCCATTTTCATGAATACAAATGTTTATACTGAGCGGGAATCGAACCCTTGACCATAGTAAAACGTAAATAAACGTATATATAGTATATAAGCCGCTAGACCTACAAGGCCGTCAGTTTGTCTTTTGCTATTCAAAATTGCATTAAATATGTATAATTTGTAAGCGAAATGTAGATTACTTAGTGGTGTAAGTTCTGTTAAAGTTTGTATGCGACCTGCATAACTATTGCTATGAAAATTTGACAAAATTCGAAGATATAACAATTATAGGCATTAATAATAGCATAAATATAACCTTTTATGATGCTATATCTACACAGCTGTGACATAACATTTACACGTAGCTCGTTGTGTTATAGAAACGTGACACGAGCAGGGTTTATTTAACACATTACTGTGAGGGTGTGTTATTTGGAGCAAAAACAAATTCTAGCTTCGAGTAAAATTTTGTACGGTAAACACAAGAATCAACAGTGGTTTCATGTAAAACCATATACTTATTTTGTACTGAAATAGTTTATTTCGTGACAGATATAAGTATAAATTTGGCTATATATTTAGAAACGAGAATTGGTGTTGTATAGTATATATATATATTTAAAAATAATATTTGTTATTTATAAAGTATTAAATACGTACACTATTTGTGATGACAATATCACAAACATTTTCACAGTTTTTGCAACTTAGAATGGCATGCAAGCTGCTGGTCCACCTGATGGAAAGTGGTAACTGTCGCCTATCAACATGAATAGTATTATGGATTCATAACATTAGTAGGATTATTTATAAATCATGTGTTACATTTACGTATATTGGGGTACTTAGACAGTAGTTGCCACACTTGGCAGGCGGATTGGCGACAGCAGTTAGGCTGTGACATTTGAATTTAACATTTTCGTATATAAGCGTCTCCTTTTTATAATTTATTTGCATATAACGTTAGTCATATTTTTTGTTATTTCTATTTGCAGTAGACTGGTAGATAGCACCATAGTAGTTTTAAGTACGCTTTTTATGCAGTAATTATCTAGGTGTATTTACGTTTATTATTTTATTTATTATAAAGATATTTTATTTATTACTCATAAAACGGTCAAACTTTTAGCTATTGAAATATTTTGTTGTTTTTTTTTGCACTAATTTCCCAATTTGAAAGACAGCGACTAAACGTTTTAAAAGTTAAAATAGGTTTGTAGGACGTTTTAATTTTTATGAATGACTTCTTTAACAGTAAATATTTTGATCAGTAAATATATTACATCTCTCTGTTATGTGCCCATAGCACAATTACTAGACTAATTGGAAGAAAATAAGTAGATGTCTAGTACACAGTCCATTCGCACTATTATCTCTTGTATAGGCAGTAGGTAATAATATCGGTAACCCGTAATTGGCAATGACACTAAAGCCCACGCTAGTCCCAGAGGTATATTTAAGTACTGCCTGGAAACTACATAAATTTAATTAAAAGAAAATTGATGAATTTATTAATAATTACCTTAGGCATAGTAACACGCACATTGTTTTGCATAAAAATGAGTTCAATTCTCGTTCAGGTTAATTTAGTAAATAAACTTTTCTAAATTAGAGTTTGTATTTGTTTGTATGCGTTCGTTACCTGTATTTCTTATAACACAATCCTTTGTTATGGGAGTATTAGTTTGGAGATCAAGAAATTAATGCGAAATATTAGAAAATACATAAACACGTGTGTAGGTAAGTACATAATATATTTATAGACATGTTGGTTTTTCATTTTATTTGATTCAGTTCTATAACACTATGCATAAAGTTTTATTTAAAATTCAATATGTTGCTTTTAATTCGTATATAATATACTGGATTGATATAACGGAAATTATATATTTTTAACAATAATTTAATTAAAACGGCACTGTTCTTTTAATTTATCCAATTGTTTGGTGTAATTGGAAAATATTATATTTTATTGTTTCAAATAGTAATAATGAATAACAGATGCATTTGACTTATAACTAACGTTTATACTTAAGTAGATAAAATATGACACTCAGCATTTAAGAAAATAGGTTTATTTATAGGTAAACATTTTTTAACATACAACACGTAATTACAATACCCTATACTTAAACAATGATAAAAATACGATATTTTGCATAAATTTTATTATTTAAGATCACAGTTTAGCGACCCTATACGTTTAACTGAAAAATAAAAACGTAATAGTTTAAAAAAATAGTAGAGAGTACACGTAAAGTTTATACTAGATATACTCAATCTATAATGCTTTGTTTAGTTATAAATACTCATAACATCACACAATTCTAGGCTTTTAAAAATAAATAAGTGCTTTACATACATATTTATTTACTCTTTGCACACTGACTTCTATTTATTCTACACATAGAAGTCAATATCTAGGTCATTAGATAATGTTTATATTTATGTTATAAGGCATCTTAGGTATTAACATTTGTATATAAGTATATAATATACACGAGAAGACAAAATATTTTATTATAACACTGATGCGATTATATTGCTTTTTATTAGTCATAGTATAATTATATATTAGACCTTGATTTAGTATGATCTGTACCTAATACTCTGGTTTTATAACATTGTGATATATGTATAAAGGGATCCTCATGTGTTAAGGAGAAAGGATTGCATGCTCTCATGCTAACAATACAGTCTGCCAGGTAGATCTCCACGTTGTCCTACTTCGAAAACATCGCCATTAATTCCTAGTGAATTAGTCATGATAACCTGACCTGGTTTCATCCCCCCCCCCGTCATCCCTATCTGGTACCCTGCCAGCTACAATAGCTTAGGCGGGGTTACCATTCTATTTTCAACCATTACAAGACATGTAAATTTTACACCGCTTCCACGACTAACAAAATATACACAGGATAGATATACCCAAGATTTTTACGTAGTGTGATATATTATTAAGATTTCTATCTTATATATATTATATATAAATACATTTAAATATACCAATATACTTATGAATATTGTGATGCATGTCGTATGCACAACATGTTATGCGATATACAAGTAAGTATCTAATGTTACAGACATTTCAGCCGTTATTAGCGATTTAATACTATAATATTCAAAAATAAATAATTATTATTTAAGTAGTAGATGCAATAAGTGTTTTTATAACTTTTAGCATGTATTTCTAATAGACCTCCCCTTTGTTTATCAGGTTTTTACAGGATTAAATTACGTTTGTTGTGGAGCGGTGAGAAGTAGACTAGTTATTCTGATTTACTAATTATTTTATCTTGTAATAAAAATCTTTAGAGGATTATTGTAGGATATTTATCCATGATAAATGTTATGTTAGAGACACTGAAATCAGAATTTTAAACTGGAAAAGAAGTGAACAAACGAATATTTGACGTACTACTGTGTATTAATATTAGGTAGTACTTAAAGCTAAATATAGAAAATTATTTACTCACTTAGTTTGTAGGGATAATTTAGTTTTTGATAAAATTAAACAAGTACATAATTATCTCTGGTTGTTGAGGTATTTTACAATTGCACTAAGTTATTTACTTGACTGTGTAATTGGCTGTTAGTGTTGCCTGTTTGTATATTATTTAAAATATTTAGTATATTACAAACTAATGTACACAAAATATGTTAAAAACTATAATGCGATATCACCCATGTTCGCTACGCCCTATATTACTAGTCTGTTTTTAATATTTAAATCTACGCAAACAGACCCAATCTCCTCTATAAGGAGATAATAAACCTGTAAATTCGAGACAAAAGTCTATTTTGGTCCCATAAGAACATACCATTATAACTATATATTAATTACATAGCATTGTATAAAATAACATATATTAAGTAATAATGTATAGCAATTAAATCAGATAAGGAAGTTGATATAAGTAGACGTAACTATACAATAGTATATATTAATTATATTCAAAATATCTATACTGCGTTTGAACCATACAATACACAGAAAATATAAATGTGCTCTTAACAATGGCTCACGATTGCAGTTCTTTATGATACTCAAGTTTAGTACTAAATATGATTTCTTATCTGATTTTTAAAACGAAATTTATAATTTCATGGTCAATGATATACGTAGGGAGTACTGATATCAACACTCATGTATGGAAGCGAATCGTGGGTATGGCAGAAGTAGCATGAAAGTGAGATAAATGATTTAGGGATGAGAGCTCTGAGAAGTATGTATGGTATTGCAATAAAAGATTAAGTAAGAAACAGTGTGATTAGAGAGAAGTGTGGACTGAAAGACGATGTAGTGACAAAAATCGTAAAGGGAATGTTGCGTTGCTTTGGCCACATGGAGAGAATGGATGAAAGAAGAATTACGAAAGAGATTTATTGAGCAAGAATGAATGGAGATATTGGTAGGGGCCGTCCTAGATGGACGTATGCCGACCAAATAAGCACGTTGCTTATTTGGTTGAAGATGGTACATATTAAAAGTAAGTAAGTAGTATGTGGAAGAAGCGAAAAATGTTTGTTTGAATCCAAGCATTTGGCGTTCCATTGTTTCTGCTTACCCTAACGGGAGACACGTGTAACAGGTATGAATGTATGCATATTTATTTTACCGTCTCGTTTATTAAATATGAATCACTATATGCATATATTATATTATGGAAGAAATCTCTTTTAGAGATAAGTTCGCCTTTGCTAACATTGTTATTAACTTATTGTTGTTACTGTATGTTTTTGTGCAATAAAGAATATATATATATATTAAAATGCAGATTACTACTAAATTTTTAAAAACATTATTGTAACAAAAGTAACTTATACATCCGATATAATATTTGTAAGTACAACATAACGACGATTATGTATGTAATAGTGATCCAAAAATAAACGGACGGAAAGTAAGTATAATAATTTAAGTAAAAAAATCTTAAGTACCTAGTATTTTACATTTAATATATTATTAATGGTAAATTTATCAATTAAAATAAATGTAGAGATCATTCGAGTGTAATTCAATGTCAAAGAGTTATTCTAACTCTTCCTAATGGATTGTCTCTCTTATCATACACCACTTTTTCATTTGTTGAATACAGTTTCTCTTGTATGGCCGCAAACGATTGACCCTTTGTTTCTGGTAAATATATTAAAATGAATATCACACCAGCTACAGACAGTAGTCCGAAGCCCCAGAATGCTACATAATTTCCTAAATAATCAGCTACTACTTGGTACAATTTTGTAACCGCGAACGTCATCAAGGCCACAAAGATTTGAATAACACATGTGGCCTTGGACTTTATATTTGTTGGAAATATTTCCGAAGTAATAGCAAAAGGCACTGTGGCTAATCCTATGGTATATGAAAATATAAATATAGGTATCACAATAATAGGAATGAATCGAAGAGAAACAACGTATTCGCTGTTCTCGTGTTTCATAAAGAAGTACGCCCCTATAATGACGTTGGCCAAGCCGACGCCACATGATGACACCAGCAAAAGTGGTTTCCTTCCCAATCTGTCCACGAGTTGGGAAGATATTGCTGATGTCAAAAGCTGTACGGATCCAAAAAGGATGCAAGATTCCTTAGCTCCTAAACCGCCTTCAGCCGCTCCAAATATTTGCTGAGCGTATGATATAATGGCAGTGCTTCCGCAAAACTGCTGTGTGAAGTATATTCCGAGTAATATTAGAAGACCTTTTTTGTTCCCTCCTACTATAAGTAAGTCCTTCCAGCGACTCTTTTCTTTCATATTGTCATTCACTAAAGCTGTCATGCTTTCCAGCTCTTCTCTTATGTAGTCTTTGCCTCGTAGTTTTTTTAAAGATAATTCTGCTTGCCTTGTTCGTCCAGCTTTTATGAAATAATATGGCGATTCTGGCATGGCGCTGAAGGTCACCACGAAGAGTATCGGTATTGCAATGTTGAAGCTTGCTAACCCCATCATAGATACGTACGGGCCAATGCAATACTGTGATAAAATGCCAAACTGAAAAAAAAAAACATATGAATAAGTTTTTAATCTTAAAAGATTTGTTTTTTTTTATTTTTTAAGTAAACACGTAGATTTATTGAAGTAAAAAATTGATGCTATTAAAATATATAATAATATAATTATAACTGTATAAGTAGGTAGTTAAAAGGTAAAATATATATCGGTAAAAATTAAAAAGACTACATACCTATATAATAAAAAATAAAAATAATAATAAAAAATGAGAGATAAAAAGCGACATCGTGACTTGCCAAGGTTCCGAAATAATAGATTACAGTCGAGTCAGGAAATAATGTAAATGACGGCCAAGTAAAACAAAATATTGGATAAGTAATTTTACAACTTTTAAACTATACGAGGTCGTTAATTGCTATTTTGGGTAAATAAGAACAAACTTTTATTAGGAAAAGATAATGTAATTTTAAATTGCACTTTGTGTAGTCTGAGAATAATAAATGAATACTTTTAAAAAGTACCATACTAAGTAAAATAGTAAAACATATGTTTCTTGTGTATATAAATTTTCATATTTCAAGAATAATAAAAAATAAGTTTTTAAGTTCTGTTCTGTATAACGTTAGGAAAATAAATAAATGAAACTGTACAGGGAATCGTTGTTGTGTTTAATAATGAAACAATTTTTGAGCAAGTAGAAAAAAAGGTCAACAACTGCAGGTTGTTTGGTTTGTCCTTTAAAAATCTTATGTGGCGAAATGACACCCAAAGCTGCTTATACAAATCTCAAAAGTGTTACTTTTGAGAATCTCTTGAAACCCGTAGAATATTTTTATTTAGGAATATCATATCCTATATTATAGAATATCTATCTTAATTATTTATATACAACTTGACAATGGGAATGTCAGTAGGTGAAAAATTTTAATCATAATATTTCTTTATTTATTATGATTTCATCATAATTTTATAATTTTTTTTTTAATCTAAGAGCAACTGGATTAAAATAAAAAAATATACATATTTTTCGATTTCTATAGGTCATTTAAATTGTATTATAATTTTATTTAAATATATTTTGCATTGGGTAGGGTAACCATTAACATTTAAATTTTCTATATTTTTTTATATTATTCTATAAATTTAATGCGATGAAAAAATGTCGTGGTCATGATAGTATTGTCGTGTGTATTGTCGATCACGACGTGGTGCAAACCGTACTGAAACGTCGGCAATAAAGAAACAGGTATGTAGGTACTATTTATCTGTGAAAATTTTCATTGCTTTAAGTCCCTATAGTGTATTCAATTTATGCGTAAACAACGCGAAAGTTTAAAAAACAAACGTCCTAGAAACGTAAAAAAAAGTTTCTTTTTATATTAAAAGTTGCATCGAAAATCTTTACATGTCTTATAAATAAAGTGCATTGATTTTTTTATGCAACTTAGAATGGCAAATAAACTGACGGCCCACTTGATGGAAAGTGGCAACCGTTTATATATATATATTATGCCTATAGATATTATGAAGAAAAAGAGGTATACAATTAGAGGTATAGGATTGTATACAAACAGTATTCTGTAAATACATATGTAGGAATTACCAAAGCTAACACACTTTTTAAGGCATTATTAACCACCGCAGATAAAATATCCGCCAATGAAATATTAACAACTTTTTTAATAATATGTTATGTAACATATTTATTAATTAATTCATATTTAAATATTTAAAATGAATAAATAATAAAATAATGCACTTCTTCCTGTATCTAAATTTATAGTAAGTAGTAATGTGCAATATCTTGGTATATATATCAGTTTATCCAATAAAAATCTACCGTTACGGAAATTGTCGAATCATGACTATGATTGACAAGTTAGGAATCTTAACATATAAAAGAGGGAATCCAATGAGATACAAATACATATTAATATGACAGGTAGCAGTGACGCGATAAGATAATGTGAAGATTTAAGAAGGTGACTTTTTATTTTGAAATAACATAAGAGATTGGTTTTCGTTGATACTACTAATATTATAAATGTAAAACTATGTCAAGATCTTTGACGTATTTTGTACAAGAATCGGTTATATTCTAACTGAACACATAAGATAAAGTATTCATATACTGATTCACGTGGGCAAAGCCGCAGGAAATAGCTAGTAAATAAATATAACATAAAATACCTTTGACATAACCGTAATAAGAGTGGCCATAGCTCCTCGGACTTCATCAGATGCAATTTCTCCAAGGTACATCGGAGCCGTTGTGTATGCAATGCCGTAGCCCAATCCTGAGATTAGACGCGACGCGTAAATCGTGGCTACATTGCTAGCTAGCATAATAAGAATCCAGCCGAGAATATAAGGTACTGCTGCAAGAAGGAGGGTCTTCTTTCTGCCAATTCTGTCTGCTAGGTACGCCGCTGGAATAGGACTGGCAGCTGAAAGTTAGCAATTGAGCATAAATTAGTACAAGTTAGTAATATTAAGAGTAGTAATGTAAAATATGCACAAAAAATATTTTACAATTCAATACAAAATCTAGTATGATACAGAAAGAAATCCATTAAGTATCATATTTTTAAAGGAGTGTTAACAAGGAATTGAATATTTTTCTCAATGACACAAGACTTGAAAATATATAAAAAATATTTATGCGTCCCGTATTAATTAAATACGTGGTATGTGCGTTTGTTTGTTGAAAATTTTTGTCGCGTTTCGACATATGTCTTTTTTTTCAGAAAAAAATATTCAGTTTAATTGGTAAAACGTTCCTTTGAGAGAATGCTAATATTATCGTTTTTACATTGTATATTATTTTTTTTATTGGTATTCATCATGCGATCAGTCTTTTCCCGACTATGAGCAGATATGTTGGTTCATGTCTTTTGGAGTCGATTCTCTTTTGAGTATCCATCTCCATAAAATTCTTTCACTGGTCAGTCTATGCCAGATTATTGAAATAATTTTATATTAAATACAAAAAAAAAAAACTCAAACCAAAGTATTATTAGACAAAATTATTTAAATTATTATAGAAAGCTATCTGTACAGTATAGAACGCCATCACTGACTTTTTTGCAGTCCTATATAATCCTCCTAATAGCTCTTAGTCGATTTGATTTCTTTTGTAATCTTTTTTTTTCTTTTTTTTATACTACTTAGAATGGCAAACAAGTAGATGGCCCACCTGATAGAAAGTGATAACTGTCGCCTATAGACATGAGCAGTACCATGCACATAACAGAGTATACTGTTTCGCCCATGATACCCCCCATGCGTTGCCATTCCTGAGGACTCGGGTGTTATTCTTCTGTACCATGTAAATTCACGCCATATTCCACCCTTCAAACCGAAACACAGCCATGCCAACACAACTGCTTTACGGTTGAAACACGAATGAAAAAAGACCCAGGCAATCGACTTTTGTACAAAGTCTCCCTCTTGGACAATTGTCGTAATATTTCAACAAATTAAAGCAAAATAATATTAAACTATACCTATAAACCTTCCTTTTGAATTAATCTATCTATTGATGAAAACCGCATTGAGATCCGTTTAGTAGTTGAAAAGATCTAAGCGTACAGTCGGCGGAAAGCGACTTTATTTTATACTATATAGAGATTGTCTTTGAACGTATTGTATTTATTATATTTACAATATTGACAGTCATGAGACAATTAAATCGTAATGTAAATATATACGGAAAATGCTACTGATCAATATTAATAATTAAAGAATCCTTAACTGAAGGTAAAGCTTCTTACTGTTGAGCGACGTTTTGATAACTGAGGTCGACATGGACCGCTGTCAAGGTGCAATTGCTAAGATATCAAGTTTCTATTTTAGTACGATGAATTTGATAATAATATTAATACATAGAAGAACTTCCGTATTATATAAAAATCTAGACGGAAAATAGACACAAAATAGAATGTATATGAAATCATAATAATATTTTAACTGCACAATTTATAAAACTGGTGGGATAAAAAGTAACCTATATCCTTTTTCATGTCATATAAGTGCGTGTACACTAAATGTTATAGTCATTGGTATAGCCATTAAAATCTCTTAGCCGATAAAAAACAAACAAACACACTTTTACATTTATTATATTAGTAAGGATTGCATTATTTATTTAATAGTAATCTCATTTATCTTAGAAGTCTGTACGTTGCAGTTAAATGAGAATATTAAGTATTTCATGAAGTACTTAGGGATATTACGAAATCACGAAAGATGTTGAATAATCTAATCTAAGTGTTACATCTTTTTGCTTAAAAAAATTTTTGATATGACAAATTACTACAATATGTTCAGTGATACAATATTCCATTAAACTATGATTTCGTTTATTCTATTGTATTCGTTCATAACTGTATTTTTTAATTAAAGAATGAAATTTAAATAAATAGAAAATACTCTTTTGATGATTAAAGTGTTACGCTATGCCTCTTTAACATTGTAATCATGCAAACAACAAACAATCCAATTGTTGTTTTATTTACAACAATTTTTTCTTTACAACATGTACGAGGTTTGTCCGGAAAGTACGTATAAAAGTTTTTTAAAAATTTTATTTTACAATTATTCAGGTAAATCAATTTTATCCCCTTCAAAGTACTCCCCCTGTGACATAATGCACTTGTGCCAACGCCGTTTCCACTGTGAGAAGGCTCCTTGAAAGTCCTCTGGTTGTAGGTTTCTCAGCTGCCCCGTCGTAGCTTTTTTTATCTCATTTATGTCCCCCAAATGCCGCCCCCGAAGTACCAATTTGGTTTTTGGGAACAAGAAGAAGTCACACGGGGCCAAATCCGGCGAATAGGGGGGGTGTTCGGTCACCGTAATGGAATTTTTACTCAAAAACTCACGGACAACAAGAGAGGTGTGGGCAGGGGCATTGTCGTGGTGAAGAATCCAACGCCCCTCTCGCGCCAATTCGTGCCACACGAGCTTTGAGGCGTCTGAGCACATCGACGTAGAATTTTCCATCAACTGTCTGGCCTGGAGGGACGAATTCTTGATGGACAATCCCCCGAACATCGAAAAAAACAATCAACATTGTCTTGACATTTGAGCGGGATTTTCTTGATTTTTTGTTCGTGGTTCCCCGGATGTCTTCCACTCTTTGCTTTGGGATTTTACTGTTCTGAGATCGGCAAAAATTTCACGGCCATTCTTGCCGAGTTTCGAGAGAAACTTGATTACGACGCGCTGCTCTTCAACGGAAGCGGGCTCCATGCCGACGGGGTTTCGTTAAGAGGTAACTTCACAGATGGCGTGACAAAGTTCGCACCGCACGGCGGTCAGACCAGAACTGAAGCATTGTTAGGGACATAAGGAAGGGGTCCTGCGCTTACCTGGCCTCCCCACTCCTCTTTCTCGCATTCCAGAACACTTTTATACGAACTTTCCGGACAGACCTCGTATAAGACGGCGGTTTTTGTTTAGTTTGGGAGTAGATGGCGTTGTGTGACGGCCAGGGTTATTTTTGAATTATTTATTTATTAATTACCGGAGCATAGTATCATGAGGGAAGCGATCCATGAGCTCTGGTCGGGAGTAGTTTGTATTGGTGAATCTTCTGCCAGCAGTATTGGCAGTGTGGGTGAAGTCCATCCAACGGTTGTCCCCGCCGCCGCCGTGATCAAGGTAGCTGGAATAATAAACATAAAAATATACTAATTTAATATTAAATAAAAATAGAGTACATTTAAGAGTGGAATAAAATATATGTATTTACTAAGAGTAAAAGAATATTCATTTAATATTAAACGTAAATAAAGTGCTCTTAGGAATTGAATAAACTTTATTTATTTTATAAACATAAGTATGAAGTTATACTTATTTATTATGAAATGAAAACAGAGACAGAATAAAATAGTTATCGTACTAATATTATAAATGTGAAAGTATGTCTAGTTGTTTTTTTTTGTACATCTTAGACAAGCTGACGGTCCACCTGATGGAAAGTGGTAACCGTCGTCTATAGACATGAGCAGTATTATGCGTTATATCCCCCCATGCGTTGCCATTCCTGAGGACTCAGGTGTTATTCCTATGTACCCAGTAAATTCATGCCATATCCCACCCTTCAAACCGAAACACAGCCATGCAAACATAGCTGCTTCACGGTTGAAACACGAATGGGACAGAGGTACCCAAGCAATCGACTTTTGTACAAAGTCTCCCTCTAGTAAAGTCTCCCTCTGTTTGGACGTTTGTTATTCGATCACGCTTAAACGGCTGAATGGATTTGTACAAAATTTCGTTCACTGGTAAGATATAGCTTAACAAATATTACATTTTAAATACTAATCCACAAAGCCACGGGAAACAGATAAAAATATAAATTATACTTATTTAATACTAAACGAAAATGTAGTGCATTTAGAAATGTGTTAATTATTCTTTATATCTTTTTGTAGATAAATCTGAAAATTTGTACAGATCTTTGAAAGACAGATTTGTTACTTAGTAACGTTTAAAAGTTTTAAAATAAAAGTTGATTAAATATATTACACAGATTGACTATTCATATAATATAGAAGGCACATTTTATTATTATTTATGCAAGTAAAGCTGTAGAAAACGATTTGTATTCTATAAATCAGTGACTCATTACTTACAATTTCCTTGATCTCGTGCAACGTTCTCAATGTTATAAATTAAATAAGCAAGTATCTTCTTGATAATATTATACACAATAATATGTATGTATATTGTAATATTTCTTGAGTTTTATAGGTATCGTTATGTAAATTATGATTATGTAAATGATACCAAAAGCAAAATATTTAATATTTTAGTACGAACATATTCGTTTATAATAACCTTCTTTTTTCGGTAGAGATACGTACGAATACTTAGCAGAAGAAGAATAAGTAAACTAAAATGAATTAATATCACAACTACAATTATAATAAACGCTCACGGAAGGTATCGTTTTGGTATGTACAAATTTAAACCGAAATAATTAATATTTTTTTAACTATTCCATCAGTGGAATTAAATAAAAAAAATACGACAAATAAAATATTAAATAAATAGCTATATCCTGAGGCTACATCCGTGTAAATCAGTATATAAAGTAGACATCTACTAAGTTAGGATATAACCTATCCGTGCACCAAATTTCTTATTACTTTTTTGTTACGTCTTGACCCAATTTTAATTATTCCTCTCCATGTTAAGGTTGCCTGGAAGAGATCGTTATTTAGCGATAAAGCTTTCTATTGTTACCTCTTTATCTGGCTTATATGAGTTTATAGAACTAATTATTCATTTTGTCTATGCCAATATTGTTAATCTTTATAATCTGTGCCATTCTTTGAAAAGTACAATAAAGAGTTTTCATTTATTCAAATTTTATTCAAGACCATTTAGTAGTTTATTCATGAAAAAGTAACAAACATCCATTCATGCAAGTTAGTAACCAATAAAGTAATAACTATTAAAAACAGAGCAGATAATACATAAAATACAATGATAAAAAAATACTAAGATGCAAATATATACTCATAATCACAATGAAGTTTTCATACTATCCTTAATAAATTTTTTATACATTGCAATCGAGTTACTAAATAATGAAGAATAATTTATTGTTATTAATGTAAAGACGAAAGACAAATATGTTTTTAGCATATTTTATTGTTATAAAAGGAACACTATATAGTAGCAATTTATTACGTGGGTTTAACATACATTTTTCGTAAACAAACATGATCATTAAATTGGTATGGAAGGCTTGCATTTCGTTGTTATTTTTCGATTCATTGTTTTCGATTTGTTGCTTTGGAACAAAAGTTAAGTTTCCATAGTACAATAATTCCTTAAAAAGGAGTTATCGATTTCCATTTTAGATTGCCTGTAATTAGAATAACTATTGTTAAAATTAAAAAACAAAATATTAATATGTGCTATAATGTGGTAATTAATTTAATTTACGTAGTTATGTACGCATACATACAGCGTTACTAAGTTTATCATAATGCATGCGCCATGCACTTGTCTCGTTCACTTTGTTGTAAAAATAACAAATTGCAACTTTGTTATTACAATAAATAATGTTCATATAATGTATTTTATGTAATGTAGTAGCTTGTAGGTGCGTAAATGTAATTTATCAAGTCTGTGTGTTTGCACATCTGAATATTTTACCAGTGTTCGGTAAATATAATTTATTACAGATTATAATTTAATGGGGTCTTTTGACACGACATGTGTGTATATCGAATATTTATATAATATATAACATGTAATATATATTAATGTATGTAAACACAACTGCAAAGTAATGCTATTGTCTATTTAGTAATACCTCATAAAAAGAATACGTAGTTTGGACTCAAAACTTTCATCATAAATAATAGGTATATCAAACCGAAATAGTGACACGCTGTTCAATTTTTATAAATATAAAGACAATTATAATTAAATAATTATATTTGTTATTTTTAGTTTGCATGTATGTAACTAACTTGTATAAGTCTGGCCTAGTAACTTTTGCGCTTTTTACGATATAGCAGAACTTCTAAATAACTGAAAGTATCAACATGTTAAAAAAGTCAATAAGTATGCATTAATGAAAATTTAAATGTTTTGGGTGTAGTATAATCGGTTATTGCGTAAGTACTACTTCATGATTTATGCTCTTTGTTCATTTGCGGTGACTGCACCATCAGATAAAAAGATAAATACGTGTTGTTTGTGTTTTGTTACTTATATTTATATTTATAAGCATTTCACGTCATGAGAAGAAAAACCGCAACAGTGATTACAATGACCAGCATGAATACAATAATTATATTCAATTATAAATAATGAGACATTCTACGTACTTAAATGATAAATGGAAGCGAGGGAGGCAAAGCTGACAAAGTGGCGGGTATTTATCAAAAACTTATAAAAAATATAATAATAATGTAAAAAATGTAACAAAAGAAAAACAAAAGGATAAGCATCTAATCACCAGTTAGAAGACGGAGGTCACTCGCTCCCTAATGAAGCGTCGTGACAGAAGCGTCAGCTTTTTCGCGAAATAACCATTATCTTTACTCCGAGTGACAGCCCTAATAGCGCCGTGTCGGGAACAACGCGTGATGACGTGGTGATTTGATTACTTTTTTATTTACAGACTTAATAATACATATATGGCTATTTCTTAGTAGTTTTTTGCAGTTTTTGAAATTTAATCGTCGTCAAAAAGGAGCAGCTTTTTTTTTATTGTATATTATTTTTATGTTACGCGATTTCATCGTGCAACATAAAAATATAAATATTTTTGAAATTGTTAAAGTTTATTTTCGTAAATGGCCAATATTAATTTCGTTTTTGATTTCAGTGTTCTTTTTTGGAACAAAGTCTTATTACTGCCTTTGTTTCGAATTTAATATTTCATATAGTCGTATTTCATGTTACATATTTGAACCCTTGTATTAAATAATTGTAATTGTAAGAGAAGAGTTGAACAATAAAGGACATTTCCTATTTAATCATTTAAAAGTTTAATCATATATATCATGACTCATGAATCATCTTAACTGTAGCCCCAAAAATGGCCAGCCCTCGAAGATATGATTGATCATCCTGGTTTGTGTTGGTTTTGATGAAAAATACATTTTCATTAATCCATTCCAGACAATTAACAATATTGACTGATGATAACAATCGAAATATTTGAAGGTTATAATTAATATATCTGAATTATTATTATGGAATGATTGAAATATTATATATAAGATGTTTGTTGAATATTACTGACATATTATTAATATTTTTTTTTATAAATTGCAACTTACATAGTAGGTACTAAGTCCTACTAGAATTAATATTCTTAAGTGTTATGTTAAGGAGGAAGAAGTGTCTAAATGAAGAAGTTACCTAAGCAATTTGTCTTTATTTTTATAGCTTCAATGAATATAGATAAAAAGCCAATTCTGAACCGATTTTGATATTTTTTTTTGCAAAAATTAGGTCATTAGTTAACTCACATATTTTGTGACGATTGAAGCTGCCGTTTTCTTATGCAGGGCAAAAATTGCTTGGGGAGTGAAATTATACCTATTGAAGACAGAATTCTAAATTCTAAATAAAAAATCTATCTAATGTGTCTACGGAACATGTAGTCGTTTATCGGTGTTTTATCGCGATTAAAGTTGCTATTATTTTTACAGAGCAAAGTATACTCTAACTTTATTAGTATACAATCGATTTTAGACTTTATACTTTTAATTGGCGACCTTCTATAATTTATGTATCTGTGAATAAATGTGATTGAGGATGTATATGATAAGACCAACAGACTAGTGATAACACATACAAAGCCGTACATTGATTCACAGAAATAGATTTGAATAAAAGATTGTTTCTGTGGTTTAATAAGTGCTTTTTTATATTATATTGCAGTGGAAAAATTACTGATCAAATGTTGAATTGATTCTGTAGCAAAGAAAAAATATACATATTTACAGTTGATATTTCATTCATTTTTAAGCGTCCCATTTCAATTTTATATAATTTTTAAATTGTCAATTCATCGACATTTTTAAAAATGTATTTTACACGCGATTCATCATGTATATAAATACCTACATTATCGTCAATTTTGAAACAATTTTCATAACTATATCTGTAATTAAATTTTTTTCCCTT